CCGCCTTAGTCAGGAGAGCATCCCAAATCAGCTCTGGCATGACTTACCCTTGTCAGACAAGGAAGACATCATGAAAACCACACTGATTTGCACTACGGTGACAAACGTGGTAGCGATCCTGGTGTCTCCTCCAAAGCAAAGAAAAGTAGTGGTGAGACTCTCGTCGATGGATGATTCACCAGTACCAGTAACTGCTAGTCAAGTCGATGGCAAAGAGATCGCTGCCAATAAGATGTACCGGAGAGCAGTTAAATACTGTAACCGATTCATCGGACGGGAAAGGAGTTCCTTTTAATCAAGAGAACCTCAAATTCATCCGGAAGTTCTTGATTGAAAGGATCCCCCGATCCAGTACAAAGACCACCAAGTTAGAGTCCTCCCAGTTGCTGACTAGGGTCGTAAACCCTGGCGATGTTGAGGATCCGCACTCAATCTCCACGGCTTGTAGTGATGTCGTGAGCTTACTCAGACAGTTGGCTGTCGAAGCGGATACTGTTACTGCTGAGACTCCCGTCGATGGATGATTCACCAGTACCAGTAACTGCTAGGCAAGTCGATGCCAAGGAGATCGCTGTGAAGAAGATGTACCGGAGAGCAGTTAAGTACTGCAACCGATTCATCGGACGGGAAAGGAGTTCGTTTTAATCAAGATAATCTCAATTTCATCCGGATGTTCTTGATTGAAAGGATCCCCCGATCCAGTATAAAGGCCACAATGGTAGTCCCTTTAAAGAAGGAGAAACCGGTCGGACGTTCTAGTACACCTAGGAAGCTGGTGCCTGATACTTCTAAGGTCTCAGTACACCCCAAGGGTAAACTGTGTACTGAGACGTCTCAGACACCAGCATCCACAAAGACGGAAGGTAGGGGATTGTAGAAGTCGGCCCGAAGGAGAGCCCGTAAAGACGTCCAAGAAGGCCGATGTCGAATTGCCAAACACAACCAACCCTAGTGGATCAATACGACCGCGAAGCAGGTGTAAGGAATATTTTTTTTTGAGACTATAACTGGATTGGATTTGTTAAAAATTGCCAAAGCCGAAACCCAAGGCTGTGACAATTGGGCAGTTGTTAGCGGATCCGCTAAAGGTAGCGAGCGCGAAGCAGGTGTAAGAAATATTCTTTTTGAGAATATTACTGGCTTGGATTTGTTAAAAATTATTTTTTTTTAATGCCCAAAAAGGCTTGGTTCAAGGCTTATTAGTCAAGGCCTGGGTGACGTAGGGGATGAACGATACCAATCAACGGCTCTGATTGGCTTTAACATGACAAAGCGTAGACCCATCTTGTCATTTTGCATCTTAATTGTGGACACTGACCACCCCCCAGTGTCACCAGGGGTAGCTACTTTCAACATGCGTAGAAATAGTTAGCTGACATGTGCTACGAGTTCACCCACAAGAACTATAAAAAATGGGTTGAGGCGTCGTGTTAGTTGTCCCCATTCGAAAATCCAAAGAGAAAGAAAACCACCTCGTTTCCAGTTTCACTCCAGTGGATCAGCGAATCAATATAAAAGCGAACTTCTTCTATATAAGCCTTCTACAAGCACCTAAAAACAGCATATGACAGCTGCCATCTTTGAAATTAAGGTTTTAGTATACTGATCGTATACTGAACGACTAGCTGAGTCGATCTGGATGCGTATGTCCGTCTGTCTGTCCATTAGCTGTTGAAGTTGACCAAAATAATTTGTACTTGTTTTTCTGGTCCCTAAACAAACAAAAAACCAGTAAGGAAAGTTGTAAAGTCGGACTGGGCCGACGATATGACACCCTTCACTACTTTGGGTATATTCTACATATGTATCTTAACAGACGTAGCGTGTTTGTTATATGTCTATATCTGAACCGATTTCAGGAAAACTTGCCAGAGACTAATTTATATTAGTTCCGTACGTTACGTAAATCGGCCGAGCAACATCATTCTAGACTTAATTCAGTACCCTATACCAAAATTCGTGCAAATCGAAAGATATATAGGGGCTTTGGTACACCATTTACCTTAAATCGGACGAAGATATATATGGTAGCTATATCTAAATCTGAACCGATTTTCACGAAACTTTGCACACATCATTCTATACTTAATTCAGTACGCTATGACAAAATTCGTGCAAATCGAAAGAAATATAGGGGCTTTGGTACACCATTTACCTTAAATAGGACGAAGATATATATGGTAGCTATATCTAAATCTGAATAGATTTTCACGAACCTTTGCACACATCATTCTATACTTAATCCAGTACTCTATGCCAAATTTCGTGTAAATCGAAAGATATATAGGGACATTGGTACACAATTTACCTTAAATCGGACGAAACTATATATGGGAGCTATATCTAAATCTGAAACGATTTTCACGAAACTTAACACACATCATTCAAGACCTTGTTCATTGCGCTGTGCCAATTTTCGTGCAAATCTAATGATATATAGGGACTATTTACCTAAAATCGGGCGAAACTATATGGGAGCTATATCTAAATCTGAACCGATTTTCACGAAACTTTGCACACATCATTCTAGACTTAATTCAGTACGCTATGCGAAATTTCATGCAAATCGAAAGATATATTGGGACTTTAGTGGACTATTTACCTAAAATCGGGCGAAGCTATATATATGGGAGCTATATCTAAATCTGAACCGATTTTCATGAAACTTAGGACACATCATTCTAGACTTAATTCAGTACGCGTTGCCAAATTTCGTGCAAATCGAAAGATATATAGGGACTTTGGTACACCATTTACCTTAAATCGGGCGAAAATATATATGTGAGCTAATTTTTGTTATGTGAGCTATATCTAAATCTGAACCGATTTCAATAGGGTTCGTCCATGGGCCAAACAGAGTTAGGTTAGGTTAGGTTTGGGGATGTGCAGTCACATGTATGACTGCAACACTCTGAGACCGGTTAGGTCCGTTGTGATCATCCACAAGAAGGGATACAGCGAAGTGAAGAGACAAGAGATTGATCTGTAGTGGAGAGAAGATTAGTGAATTAAAGGAGTGAAGAGTGAAGGTCGATGGTCCTATGAGTCAGACACAAAAGTGTTACGTGCCAAGGTTGTATGCTCCTAACCACTTTATGTTTCTAATTATGCTGTAGATTAGAGCAGGTTCGGTTGTTGAGAAGAGGCTGAGACTAGGTAGAAAATGAGCACCCATTAGTCTGTGCCGCCTGTAAGCCAGGGCTGGGCACTGACACAAGAGATGTTCAATTGTCTCCGTCTCCTCCTCGTCAACACAGAGTCTACAGTAATCAATTACATCGAGGTCCCATTTACTAGTAAAGGCCCTGATGTTGCAGTGACCAATGATGATTCCTGTCACCACTCTAATTTCGGCTTTACTCAGGTTCAATAGTGAGCGCGTTCTTTTGGTTGACATAGTCGGCCAAATGAATCTTGACACGTTGCACCTAGGTTCGTTGTTCCAAAGTTCACAGGCTGTTTCGTCAAAGAATGCCTCAAAATTCCTATATAAAAGACATATGGGTGGTTTGATTGAGTCATCAGTTTCTAGATCGGTGGATTGAGATCCTCGTCTAGCTAGTTCGTCCGCTCTTTCATTACCCAAGATGTCTCAATGTCCTGGTACCCAACACAACCGATAGCTATGGTTAAGTTTTTCCAGAGCTGCTCTACACTTGAGGACGGCTTCGGATTTGATGTGACAAGATTTGATGGCTTTAAGAGCCGCTTGACTATCCACAAAGATAGTCACCGGTTCAACGACCTCAGCATCCAGACTTTTTATCAATTCCGCTGCCTTCCAGATCGCGAAGATTTCAGCTTGGAAAACACTGCAGTTGCTATCCAGCTTGTAGGTTAACTCAAGGCCTATCCTTTCACAGTAGACGCCTGCCGCAGTGCCTTCTTCCATCTTGGATCCGTCTGTATAGAAAGCCAGACCGTCCAGAGGAGGGTTACTTCGTTTCCAGTCGTCTCTACTAGGAATAACGATATCTACATCGTCAAATCTAAGGATTGGTGATATATAGTCGCTTAGTTTAATGCGTTGGTCCAAAGCTATACCTGGTTCATTCAGAACACTACAATGCCCAAAGGTACAGTTCCGCCAGAGTTTTTGTTCATGCAGCCGTAGGGCGCTACACGCAGCTTGACACTTAATGCTGAGGCCCAAAGGTTTGAAATACAGCATTGCGTTTAAAGCTGCTTGTGGCGTACTTCTTCTGGCTCCTGTAACTAAAATCGCGGCGGCTCTTTGGACCTTGGGCCAAACAAAAGAGCTGTGCCAAATTTCATCCAATTCGGATCATAAATGCGACCAGTACTTTGTTTATAATTTAACATGGACAGACGGACGGACGGACATGCATAAATCGACTCAGAAAGTGATTCTATGCATATTCCCAAAAGGAATCATGGGTCTATCTCGATTATTTTTGCCTGTTACAAACATATGCACAAAGACATAATACCCTGTACCACAGTGTGGTGAAGGGTATAAAATCGTCGACACATTTCACATATTCGTCTATAAATCCGCATTCGACAGCCCTATCCGTTCAGAGGTGTTTAAAGGTGTATCGAGTTGCAGCACAAGTCATGTTGTGCGAATGGATAAGGATGCCCCAGCCCAAATAGCATATAAATTTTAAGAATATTGGTTTAAGGTCTGAGAAATGGCGTGGATTTTTTTTTTAATAAACATTTTCAGGACTGTTAAAACGGAACAAAATCCCTTGCTCTATGGCAATATTATAGTTATAAGTTATAATTACTTAATTTGAAATAAGTTTGAAAAGTCATTAAAGAAAATTATGAATACAACTTTCAGTTACGGATTTAAGTATCCAAACAAATCTAGTTTTCGAAATTTAGTAAACAAATTACAGTTTGTAAACAATTCGATGTTTCATAGATATCCCACACTACCCTTCAAAATGTTCACTATAAATAACATGGCATTCAAAGTGCTAGGGTTTAAAACATTCCGGTTATAGATGTGACTAGATCTATTCCGTAACATGTTATATCGTCCCCGTTTGCCAAATGGTAAAAAGGCACCATTATCCTGGCCCATAGTGGTTTTTCGTCTTACCAACATTATCTGCTGGCCACTGGAGGATAATGCCTCCTGGATGGCTGTCGTTTTCGATAGGTTCTGTTGGTATTTAGCCTTCTTTATATTTGTTGTGACCAATGATGCCGAATTTCGTTATCTTCGGGTAAATATTAACAACATGGATGAGATGTTGACGGGAGTACCAACATATTTGGTGCTGATTGAGATACATTTGCGGGCCTTTACCTTGGGCTGGAGGAAACAGGATCTAAGACGATTGCTGGCAAAATTCTATCGGGAGATTTATATTGAAAAGTAAGTCATACAACAATTTTGGAATTAAAATAAAAAAGTTAAAATTTTCCAGATCCGTCCACCCCGAAATTTATAAAAACATTAGAAGCCAACTAATGCCCATCTTTGCACTGAGCAGTTTCTATTTGACCGCCTTGATCTCCTATATTCTCTTACCAATTTATTTCCTCTCGATTGGTAGTCGTGAATTAATGTACAAAATGATACCGACCTTTGACTATACTCCACTGTGGATATATTTGCTCTGCTGCCTTAGCACTTTATGGGTTGGTTTCATTGTGGCCACAATGATGTTGGGTGAGGCCACGGTTCTCTCTACTTTGGTATTTCATTTGAATGGTCGTTATCTTATGATGCGTGAAAAACTAATGGCCAAGGTAGAGTTGTTGTTGGAGAAGAGGAGTCGTTATGAAAATATTACCGAGGAATATAAGAAAATTCTTGTGGAAACTCTGCAAGAAAATGTGGCACTGAATCGATTTGCCCAGGAAATACAAGAGGAGTACTCGTTTCGTCTATTTGTCATGGTTGCATTTATGGCTGCCTCGTTGTGTGCGCTGGGGTTTAAGGTTTATACGGTAAGTTCCGGAGGAATCTTCAATTAAAATATTTCAAATATAAATTTGTCAATTTTAGAGTCCCATTACCAGTATTGGCTATATATTTTGGGCAATTGGCAAAATCCAGGAAATCATTGCCATTGGCACAATGGGTTCCACCATCGTGACAATTGTAAGTGAACCATTATCATCGCTTTAAAAAATTATTATAAAAATCCAAAAAATATTTTTAAAAAATCCACGCTTTATTAAGGTCCTTAAAAATATGATATACTCCTTCAAAAATGTAACATCCTCCAAAATAGTTCTTTTTAAATCTACGCGTTGTGAAGGTCCTTAAAAAATCCACGCGTTGTGAAGGTCCTTAAAAAATGTACGCCTTGTGAAGGTCCTTAAAAAATCCACGCGTTGTGAAGGTCCTTAAAAAATCCACGCCTTGTGAAGGTCCTTAAAAAACCTATTCCTTGTGAAGGTCCTAAAAAACCAACGTTTTGTGAAAGTCCTTAAAAACCAACGTTTTGTGAAGGTCCTTAAAAAATCCACGCCTTGTGAAGGTCCTAAAAAACCAACGTTTTGTGAAGGTCCTTAAAAACCATTTCTTTTGAAGGTCCTTAAAAAATCCACGCCTTGTGAAGTTCTTAAAAAAATCCACGCCTTTTGAAGGACTTTAAAAAATTCACGCCTTGTGAAGGTCTTTAAAAAATCCACGCCTTGTGAAGGTCTTAAAAAAATCCACGCCTTGTGAAGGACTTTAAAAAATCCACGCCTTGTGAAGGTCTTTAAAAATTCCACGCCTTGTGAAGGTCTTTAAAAAAATCCACGCCTTGTGAAGGTCTTTAAAAAATCCACGCCCTGTGAAGGTCTTTAAAAAATCCACGCCTTGTTAAGGTCTTTACAAAATATTATTTAAAAAACCACGCCTATTGTGATCCAAGCCTGTCTGTATAATTGAAAATATGTTTTTAAAAATCCATGCCGGTTTTTATCATTGAAAAAAATATTTTTTAATATTTATTTTTTCAATTTTTTCCCCCTCTTAGACCAATCAAATTAGCTCCATGTATTATGAATCCAATTGGGAATTGATAGTTTTCCAATCGGCGGATGCCAAGGCCAATGCCAGACTTATGAAATTGGTGCATTTGGCCATTGCCACAAATAGTAAACCATTTTCATTGACGGGTTTAAATTTCTTTACCATCTCCACGACCTCGGCATTAGCAGTAAGTATTGATTATTCAGGGAGAGAATTACAAGTTCTAATTATAAAATATTGCAGATTCTTCAAGGAGCTGGTTCATACTTCACTTGTCTCACATCATTCCGTTGAGGGGAAATGCAAGTTTTAAAAGCACAGGATATGGAAAAATGATTTATTTTATTAATAAAAAATAAAAACTTGGAGGATATATAAGGGTCCAACACGCTTTGTAATATTATCTTTTTATTTTAAGAATTTACATTTTTTTATTCCAAAATATTCTCAAATAAGTTCAATGCCTTATTTCACCTTGTGTCTCGCCATAATGGATATTCTCGGAATATTAATCTATTTATTTCATATAACACCATGAGGAGGAATGTAATAAAATATGATTTTACACCTTGGTAACGTGTCTGGAAAATGGAATTCATATTAAAATGGAATATTTCTGAAGAAAAACAGAAACACTTTTGCCAAATCATTTCAAAGGGCAAATGTCAATGCAATATGAATGAAAGAATTTCACGCCAGTCTCTTCTTCGAAAGGCTACATATTGAAAAATGTTATGAATTTCATTAGGCGGTAATACATTGTCCTGCAGACTGGCTAGATGAGTTTTGAATTATTTATTTGAATATAAATTCAAAGAATATTTTTTCAAGGCCTACTTAGACAAGGCGTGGATTTTTAAAGAATATTTTTTCCAGGCCTACTTAGACAAGGCGTGGATTTTTAAAGAATATTTTTTCAAGGCCTACTTAGACAAGGCGTGGATTTTTTAAAGAATATTTTTTCAAGGCCTACTTAGACAAGGCGTGGATTTTTTAAAGAATATTTTTTCAAGGCCTACTTAGACAAGGCGTGGATTTTTTAAAGAATATTTTTTCAAGGCCTACTTAGGCAAGGCGTGGATTTTTTAAAGAATATTTTTTCAAGGCCTACTTAGGCAAGGCGTGGATTTTTTAAAGAATATTTTTTCAAGGCCTACTTAGACAAGGCGTGGATTTTTTAAAGAATATTTTTTCAAGGCCTACTTAGACAAGGCGTGGATTTTTTAAAGAATATTTTTTCAAGGCCTACTTAGACAAGGCGTGGATTTTTTAAAGAATATTTTTTCAAGGCCTACTTAGACAAGGCGTGGATTTTTTAAAGAATATTTTTTCAAGGCCTACTTAGACAAGGCGTGGATTTTTTAAAGAATATTTTTTCAAGGCCTACTTAGACAAGGCGTGGATTATTAAAGAATATTTTTTCAAGGCCTACTTAGACAAGGCGTGGATTTTTTAAAGAATATTTTTTCAAGGCCTACTTAGACAAGGCGTGGATTTTTTAAAGAATATTTTTTCAAGGCCTACTTAGACAAGGCGTGGATTTTTTAAAGAATATTTTTTCAAGGCCTACTTAGACAAGGCGTGGATTTTTTAAAGAATATTTTTTCAAGGCCTACTTAGACAAGGCGTGGATTTTTTAAAGAATATTTTTTCAAGGCCTACTTAGACATGGCGTGGATTTTTTAAAGAATATTTTTTCAAGGCCTACTTAGGCAAGGCGTGGATTTTTTAAAGAATATTTTTTCAAGGCCTACTTAGGCAAGGCGTGGATTTTTTAAAGAATATTTTTTCAAGGCCTACTTAGGCAAGGCGTGGATTTTTTAAAGAATATTTTTTCAAGGCCTACTTAGGCAAGGCGTGGATTTTTTAAAGAATATTTTTTCAAGGCCTACTTAGACAAGGCGTGGATTTTTTAAAGAATATTTTTTCAAGGCCTACTTAGACATGGCGTGGATTTTTTAAAGAATATTTTTTCAAGGCCTACTTAGACATGGCGTGGATTTTTTAAAGAATATTTTTTCAAGGCCTACTTAGGCAAGGCGTGGATTTTTTAAAGAATATTTTTTCAAGGCCTACTTAGGCAAGGCGTGGATTTTTTAAAGAATATTTTTTCAAGGCCTACTTAGGCAAGGCGTGGATTTTTTAAAGAATATTTTTTCAAGGCCTACTTAGGCAAGGCGTGGATTTTTTAAAGAATATTTTTTCAAGGCCTACTTAGGCAAGGCGTGGATTTTTTAAAGAATATTTTTTCAAGGCCTACTTAGGCAAGGCGTGGATTTTTTAAAGAATATTTTTTCAAGGCCTACTTAGGCAAGGCGTGGATTTTTTAAAGAATATTTTTTCAAGGCCTACTTAGACAAGGCGTGGATTTTTTAAAGAATATTTTTTCAAGGCCTACTTAGACATGGCGTGGATTTTTTAAAGAATATTTTTTCAAGGCCTACTTAGACATGGCGTGGATTTTTTAAAGAATATTTTTTCAAGGCCTACTTAGGCAAGGCGTGGATTTTTTAAAGAATATTTTTTCAAGGCCTACTTAGGCAAGGCGTGGATTTTTTAAAGAATATTTTTTCAAGGCCTACTTAGGCAAGGCGTGGATTTTTTAAAGAATATTTTTTCAAGGCCTACTTAGGCAAGGCGTGGATTTTTTAAAGAATATTTTTTCAAGGCCTACTTAGGCAAGGCGTGGATTTTTTAAAGAATATTTTTTCAAGGCCTACTTAGGCAAGGCGTGGATTTTTTAAAGAATATTTTTTCAAGGCCTACTTAGGCAAGGCGTGGATTTTTTAAAGAATATTTTTTCAAGGCCTACTTAGGCAAGGCGTGGATTTTTTAAAGAATATTTTTTCAAGGCCTACTTAGACAACTGGTTTTCCTAACACACGCTTTCCCTAATTCCTAAAACTCCATTATTTACAATTTACATCTACAACCACAATATGTTTTTTTGTTTATTTTGAAAACATTTTGCAACATAAATACAAAAGGTTTTGGATAATTTCCATTTGTCACTGATTATCCTGCGGTTTCATTACATTTCCATTTTGTTACTAAAATATGTTTGCTTTTATGTTGTAGTTGTTTCGCATAATATCGATTTGCGGTTATCACATGTAAGATACATTCTTTATGTCCCTCTCATCCCCCTCCGGATCCACGTATCATTCACCTTATCTCGCCACCCCCTATGTTAAACAATCTCCCATAACAAATAGTTTTCATTATGACAATGAAGGCAAAAATTAACCACACGACCACGATTACCACCAGCCCGAAAACGAGTTGATATTTTTAACACAATTCACTCTACTGCCACACATTTCAATACACATCCCCCCTCTTCCCCGCGCACACACACATTGCCAGCTAGTCGGACCGCTGTGAAATCAACAAAACCACCAAATTTATGGAACTTTTTTGCAATTATGGTTGCCAGTTTTTACTTCCGTTTGTTATATTGTAATAATGTCCTAAAGGAGAGAAAGGAGAGGCCAAAGAGGAGGAGGAGGTGAAGAGGAGGCAGGTTTGTGTGTATGTTTCTTTTATAGTTGTGGTGAGAATATCCTGTATTTGTATGCTAGCTGACTGCTTGGCTGACTAGATGGCTGGCTGGCTAAACTGACTGACTGACTGACATACATTTTAACAAATGTGCCATAAACTTATTTGGTAAAAGTTTTCCATTTCGTTGTTGTTGTTTTTTTTTCATTTTTTGGCTAAAAACTTTTTCCATTTCTTCTTTATTTCAGTTTTTGATGAGGAGGCCAGTAGGCTTGATAGCTGGTAGGCCGACAGGCGTTGCCAACCACATAATAAAATAAAACTTTGTAATTTAATAGAATTTTTGTTGTTGTTGCTGTTGGTAGATCAAATTTACAACAATCATTAAGGTATTTAAAACACGCTCTTAAGATAAAAGATGGGACGGGTGGGAATGAGGAATATGAACAAATAATAATAAAATGAACTGTGAAAAAGTTGTATTTTGATAGCGATATTTAAAAATGCTGCAACTTGTGGCATATCTAGAAAAATATTCTCTAAAAGACCTCAGATTTTTTAATCTTTCAAAAAATATTTTAAAAAAATGAAACCTAGCGAGACAAACTGCATTCGATAGCCCTATCCATTCTGAGGTGTTTAAAGCCATATCTGGGTTTGACATACCTACAAAATTAATTCGGCTATGCAGGATAACTTTAATTGGCAAAAGATCAGCAGTTAATGTCGGAAAGGACCTCTCGGGGCTATTTAATACCGAACGAGGATTCAGACAGTTTGTCGTGTGACCTATTTAATATCCTGCTGGAT